TTAGCAGTGTAGCGTATGTGGTTATTGTAAATAGTGTAAATTAATTATTATAGTTCAGAATCAGTAGAATAATAGGTAAAAAGTTAATATAAATTGCAGTTATAAATTAATTATTGTAAGTGTTACTTTTGTATAACGTGTACAGTGGTAATTGCAACGGAGGAAACGGTAATTAATCGCGCAGTCTGTGGACATATTTCGCAGTCAAGACAATCGCACAGTGTGTGTGGACATTTTTCGCAGACGGGATAATCGTGCAGAGTGTGTGGACACTTTTCGCGGACTTCTGTGTTGTACGTGTATGTGCGGATTAATTTCATGGATACTGGTGGACAGGATCATCGCTGTGCGTGACAACCAGAAGGGGGAATTAACTTTCCCCTATTCGATAATATTCGCAAGAAAATATTTACATTTCTTGCGATTTTTATGGAGTAATCAGGTTTAACGCGATACAAATGGATTTGAATTAAATACCGCGGTCACAAGTTATTAACATCTTGTACCAGATAACTAGATAGCTATTCTACCTACGTCCTTTTCAAAAATGTAATTACAATGTAACAAATGTAACTCAACAAATGTAATTTACAACAAAATTATAAATAAATAAAATAATAAAAATTATGAACTAAATCTATAAATGTATACATTATAAATTAATAAATAAATAACACTAAGGGAAAATTGTATTCTATTATTATGTATATGTTATATATTTGGTAAAAGCTTTTAAACATTTATCTGTACACATTTAGGAAATTGTGCATTAAAAACAAACATCGTGGATTTAACTGTGGTTTATTATAAACGTTTTATAGAAAATTAATATTTTAAATAAAACAAAATTAAAATTAAACAAAATTAAACAATGTTAAACAAAAACAAAATTAAAATTATTCTTTTTTTTGTTTTTTGATTTTTTTTAACACTTTTTGCAACTTTCTTGGCAGCAAATTTTTGTTTTCTTTTCTCTTCTAGTTTTTCTTTTTTAATACGCTTCTTTAATTCTTCTTATTGAAAGTCTTATGGTTATAAAAAATTCCCGAAACAAAAGAAATAAAATAAACAGGTCATTTTAATGAATATTCAGTACGCTTAGGTTATAGTTGTGTCAAAATAATATGATATTTATGTACGAAATATGTAAAGAAAACTATGAGCTTCCAAAATTAAATATTGATATTAATATAAAAAACACAAAAATACCTACTGTAATATAACGAAAATAATTTTTTAAGTCGTACACTAACTCTCTGCTCGATGCTGCTCGAGTGACTGGACAAGCGTCCAACGATTACGCAATCATGATTCTCATGTACCAATAAATAAACTCGGCAATTTCAACATTAAAAAAAAGGTTTTATGAAAACAAAGTTGGTATCAAATCTGGAGACTTTAATAAGTTCAAGAAACCTTTACTTATTAGAAACACATGAATTATTTATCATTTCCGAGCTTAAGAAATGCGCTCTCAATGTTAGCGAAACACTTACGAAGGCATTCATGTCGTCTCAAGTTCATGATTGCTAAATGATATTTTTTTTAAATAGTGCATCACGCTTTTGCGAAATTTTTATATGATTTCAGATAAGAAATAATTAAGGATAATTATTTTCTATCCTGAAGTTCGCTATTATTTTTTAACAATTTAATATTAACAAAAATTCACGATAGTATCAAATCACTGGGACATTTACCTTATACCGAAATTTATCCTAAACGAAATCAACCATGTCGATTAAAATTCGAGAGACTATACATCGCTTTACAAAAGCGGAAATTTTAACGTTACCAAACATAACGTAACCAAAACTGCTACTTCTGAAGAAAATACTATTGCGGTCTATTGCGTACTATTTTGGTCTTAGCAAAACAATTGTGCTTCGAATTCTTCATAATGAAAAATATCCTCCATATCACTAACACTTCGTGGAGAGTTAAACGGATCGGATTATGAAAACCGCGTTCGATTTTGCATGAAATGCGCAATGATGATCTTTTTTTACAAAAAGTGTTATTTATCGACCAAGCGGCATTTACTAATCGCGGGCAAATTAATTTGAGAAACATGCACTACTGGGCATCAGAAAATCCTCACTTGATGAGAGAAGTTTATCAACTTTACCATCGATATTTTACCAACTTTAATAAAAAATGTACCACTAATATCCTCACAAACATTTGGTACCAACATGATGATTGCCCCGCAACATTATGCACATGTAGCAAGGCAAGTGCTGGACTGACAATTCCCCAATCGATGGATCGGTCGTGGTGGAGAATTTCTGTGAACACCACGTTCACCAGATCTAACACCGTAAGACTACTTTCTATGGAGTACATTAAAAAATATGGTGTATCGTGAGCCAACAACAACACCAGAGAATATAAAAGGACGAATTCGTGAAGCATGCGGTATGCTTGCTGCAGAAACAATTCAAAGTGCAGTTCCTTCGTTGATTAATAGATTACACCAGTGTATTAATATGAATGGACACCATTTCGAATACCTACGTTAGTGAAAGGAAGAAGTTTTACGGAAATCTTTGCTGATATTGAACCTCCAACTTGATATTACATACAGACCATTTGCAAGAAACAAAGTGAAATTATTTGTTAATTATTAGGTTTACGGCTAATAAAGGTCAGTACTTTTTTACTCAAAGTTTAACGCTCCTCGATATTTTGCCATAAAACATATAGCGTTCCGCCTGAAAAAACGAAGTTGACCTTCAAATCTCCGAAACGCCTCCACAAGAAAAAAAATATATGCATTACATAATGTATCCGTCCATACCATGCAACTTCTCTATAAAAAGTTTTTTCATACAATGCATACTTCAGAAGTTATTCAGGGTGAACAAGTTGCGTGGACCACCCTGTATATAGATATGTATATGTAGTAGGACTTAAGTAGACGAATGTAGTATCAGGTACAAGGTGATCCTTTCAATCAGAATCGACGACCTGGTCACCAGCGACTAGTCGACAGTACTTAACGGCTCAATACTTACTAACACAACTGTAGACCGAACAAAATGATGTAAAGTATTATTATATCGTGGACATCTACATATGTTTAAATAATGATCAAAGTAACTATATTATCCAAAATGAAAACATTTTTTGTGCAATAACAAGACAATTACAATAGCTACAACGTTTGTTCTGAACGTTTTTGTCTAAAACTTATCAGTGGTACTCCCTGAATTTAGTTTAGCTAGATTTACAAACTACTACACTGTGCGGTGATGCCAGTTTATCGTTAGAAAGCCGGTGGCATTGAAATGAAAGTGCCGGTTCAACGTTCTATCGCTTCACGGAAATTCACGTTCGAACAGTGAGTCGCATAAAACATAAACTTTTTACTATCCAGTTTCACTCCTCTCGTGAAAAAGACATTTATTCATGCTTATTAATTTTTGTCCAACTATTGTGAAGAAAGTTTTCAAAGTTTATTTCAATGGAAATAGTACAATATTAATAACACAGTCTAACCCAAATTGCAGACATTTATGTAAACACTATTTCACAAAAGTAAAATTTGTTTCAGAAATTAGATCAAAATTATGTTATAATAAAGTTACTAAAAAGCCATACGGAATTAATTAAAAAATGTAACAAAAGAAGTTATTCTTTATTCACGTTTAATATTTTGTGTGATTTACTATTACATTTTATAAAATAATTATATTAGATGAATATCCTAGGTTTAGCTTTCGTTATGCTTAACTTTCCGTGTAAATTTATGATTTCATTTTTGCAAAAATAGAAAAAAAATGGGTATTACTATACAATTCGGTCCGTATCACCGATTATATTCAAACTTTAATATGTCCAAAGGGGCTATCTAAAACGGCAAAATATCGTTTAAAAAATGTCGCAAATTATTATAAGTACCTTTAATTTCAAGTTAAATTTCTAACCGAAACCTAACCTAAACATCACTATAAATTCAGATGAAGTGAAAGAAGATAAACAGTGAACAGTAAAAAAGAGGTTTAATTGTTTATTTTTAAAGCATCATACTGCTCAGAATTGGTTAGAGCTAATTTAATAAGAAAAAAAAACGGATACTAATAATCATCTATGTTACTGTGCCTGCTTAATTCATTATTGCTATTTAATAACTGCTCAACCTCAATTCCACCATCTTATATCTCACTAATAGCTTTAAATATGTGATGAATTCTTCTTTTGTGATTCTGATATTTTCCTAGAAAAAGCTATCTCTAGAACCCCAACTCTGATCAGTACAATGCTTTGAAAAGAATTTTTTTTTTTATTAAACTAGCTCAACTAAACAATTAAACCTTTTTTCTACTATTTACAACTTATGTTCTTTCACTTAATCTGCCTTTAGAGTGATGTTTAAGTTTGATTTCAGTTACAAATTTAACTTGAACTTAAAGGTATTTATAATTGTTTGCGAAATTTTTTAAAATGACATTTTGTATTTTTAGAGAGCCCCTTTCAACATATTAATGTTTGAAGACAATCGGAGATAGCGACCGAATTGTACACTATCCTCAAAAAATGATTTCTAGAGTCCAGATTTCAATGTCCTTGAAATATATTGTCAAGAGCAACATTTCAAGAATTTTTTTCTATATCTATACATGTATAACCGCCGCTCGGCCTTAGATATACGCGAAAATATGTTTAACACCATGTATTTAATGCTAGCCACCTGTGAATTATATTTTTTCTTGAACTGTTTCTAACCAACTCCGATCAGTATAATGTTTCAGAGCTAATTAGAGGGAGTTCAAGAAAAAAAAGTAATTTGGAGTTAGTTGGAGACAGTTCAATAAAAAAACGTAATTCAAAGTTGGTTAACAGTAAATACATAGTGTTAAAAATATTTTTACCTATATCCTGAAACTAGGGTCGAGCGGCGGTTATGCGTATAGGGAAAAAATATTAATTGTAAGAATAATTACCAAAATAAGAGCTGAAAAAATATTGAGAAGGAAATATTTATTTAATTAACTTACCGCAACATGGCTTGCCAAAGTCGAGTCTCACGAGTTGCACCATATATGGCTCGAGTAGGTTCACGTACCACCACGGCCTGTGTTCTGGCCTGGTCAGGGTGCAAGTTTGGGGACTATAGATCTGACCACTGCTACCATCTACTGCTCGTTGCGGAATTCCACCCTCCGAACTACTAGATTGCATCGGTGCCTTGCCTCCAGCAACATTTAGAACTATAAAGGAAAATGAAACTTTGTTCATGATCCGGGTAATAGTGATGCCTTCTTTATAGCGTTACTTGATATTACTAAGAAACACATGTCTTTAACTTTGGAGGTCTGTTGTGCTTTTACTGTAACAGTTATTCAGTTGATTTTTACACGAAATACTTCTCTGGACTCTTACGAAAGAAATGATGTGAATTGTTATTATATTATTAACACCTATATATGTGGAAATAATCTTCAAAGTGAAAAGAGCACCGAAAACGCACAAATTTTTGCTGATATTCTTCAATTCACTTCAAAATCTAAGGGTTCAGAAGAAAATCTAACCGTAGCGTAATGTAGAGCACACCTTTCTGCTACGGAAGGTATCAATGAAAGTTACAAGAATCTGTTTTGTTTTCAATGGAGAAGCGAAGTGGTTTAGCAAAACACGCGCTGGCGGCAGTGGTACTGAATGAGAGCGGTCGCCTCGGCTGCCGGCCAACGTAACGGAAACGCTAAACGCAGAGTGTTAACAATAGAACGAATTGGTTTGAGGTATATTTCATGTTTGCGTTTTGATGGTGATCGTAGAATGCAACATGAACTTACCACAAAATGGTATGCCCTCTGGTAACCACGTGCCATCAGCCTGGCACTGTCTTCGTGCAGGCCCCAGTAGCACGAAACCACGTTCGCAAGAGTAGATAGCTACGGTTTCCTCGAGCCATACTTTGTCCTTAAGAAGAGTCTCTTCTTCATCTATAAAATCCTGGGTACCTGGTCCAATGAATCGGACACTACCATGCGCACATACACCTGGATAACCACATCCGGCAGCACTGCAATCTGCAATCCGACATAAAAATCGTCATTATTTATCCATATTTAAAATGCTTGTAGATAAGGTACAATCACCTGAACAAACATAAATGGGACTGTTTTAGAAAGAAGCGTTTATTAGATCAATGTATTCGTAACCGAGGAATTTCTTTGTACTACGTAAAGTTTCACATTATATGAATTTTTGTTTAAATTTTATGCTATTAATCAAAGTGTAATGCATTTTCCCCTTCAAATAAAAAAAAAAATTATCATCATTATTATCATCGTTAGTATTATCGTTATTATCATCGTTATTATCATTATCATTATTACTATCATCATCGTAGTCTTCGTCATCGTCATTATTATTATTATTATCATTATGATTATCATTATTAAATATCTTTATTAAGTATTTAACATAGATGAGCAATATGAAATATTAAAAAGAAAGAATAAGTAGCAACAAGAGAAAAGCGCAGGAGGATTTTGTGTCATGATATCGAGTTAACTATACCTCACCACCAATCATTTCACTCACACGATTTCATAGACACTGATTTTACCCGACAATAATTACTCAACAACACTTTTAAATCACCGACGATGTTTACTTATCGATGTCGATTTCTAGTGATTGTTATTTTTCTTCGACCACTGACAGTGAGTGTATACAGGATGTTCGACAACTAGTGGGAAAAAATTTAAGGGGTGATTCTTTGAGGCAAAATAACACGAAAAAAAAAAGAATAACGAAATTGCGAAAAATGCTTCGCTTGTTAGTTATAATCGTTTAAAAATTCACCCAAATGATGGCAATCCGCGCGCTCAGTGTCAGCGGATTACGGCTCGTCAGGGGCGTGGGATCCTGTCTAGAGACTCGAATCTGGACAGGATGTGAAAGAGAGGGTAACCTTCTGTTTCAGATAAGGGATGGACGACAGTAAGATAGTAACAAGGAGAGAGAGGTCAGCGCACAGCAAGGACTGCACAAGCTGGTTACCAAATGTGCTCATGCGCTAGGCCTCCACGAAACCCTGAGCAGGAAGTTAGAGTCGAAACAGAGGGTATGAACGGACGTATAGAAAGCTGAACACAGAAGGAATTTTGTGAAAACCTAAGAAGCCTAAGTGAAAGTAGATGTAGAAGTAAGAGGATCGAGCTTCGCCCGAACATAGTTACCAAATGTGCATGACGATAACCAGGTTCGCACGAGACAGGAGGCACGCTGAAGAGAAAAAATGCACACGAAGTAATAAAGCGAAACGGAGGATCGGAAAAGTAATAGTTACTATAATCTAAACGAGAAGGAACAAATATGTAGTGACAGTCCATTTAGTTTTCTCCAATTTGACAGGTGACAATTAATTATGTATATTTTCACGACCAATAAAATTTTTGCTTTGGGGTGTTGCACACGCGAACTTACAAACTATATTTAAACAAATGATTAAAAAAATTATGTGGTTGGATTCCTTATTCAAAGACACGATTTAATCAAAATTTGATAAAGATATGATTAGTCGTTTAGATTCAGAAAACCTGATGTTTGTTGTATTATACTACAGACGATATCAATTAAGTTAATTAATTACAGCCTTGTAGTCGGTGAAATGAAATTATTGGTGCTCCGAGAATAAGCATTTTTGTTATTTTACTATATCTTATCTCCTTTTTCAAGCGCTCATAGTTCCTTTAAATGGTATTATTTATATTTTTATAGTACTTTCAAGTGCCCATAATTCGCCAATGACACTTCCTTTGTAATAGTTCTATTTAGAAGCCAAAATACCATTATATTCTTTCCTTTCTTTTCATTTCCCGCTAGATGAGACCTACCACCTTCTTGTGATTTTCATCGAGCAATAATCATTGGGCATATAAAACTACAGTGGACTCTGGACATATTGCCCAACGTGGCACATCCCCTGCACACGTACAGTGAATCCTCGATAAGTGTTCGAAGGCTCCTCGGCACTGAACATTAAATATTTTATAAATTAATGGCCATATGGGGCTGAAGCAAATATCATTAGCGTCAGAATTCCAAGCTCTATCACTGTGTGAAACCTCATTAAAAAAGTCAGTGTTACCCTATCATCGAGGATTTACTGTATTTTCACGTACACAAATTCGCTCTCTTCTCACTACGTTGCGTACGCCGTCACCACCAGCACGACCCAGCTTTTGCACAGGCGCTGGGGCGACCGAAGCTACGACAGCAGAACCAGCATGGCGAGGACTCATGACGCATTGCCGTTTCCGAGAATTTTATTCTCCTACTATGAAAATATAAATACCACCATTTAAAAAAAACTATGAACACTTGAAAAAGGAATTAAAACACAAGAAAATAATAGAAATACTTATTCTGGGAATACCAATAAACTCATCGATTAAAATACTAGAGGACTTAAGTAATGTCAGTTAAGAATATGTCATCGATTAAAATACTAGAGGACTTAAGTAATGGCCATAGTAATAGGAAAATAATCGAATAGATAAAAGAAATTTTACGTCAAATAAATTTGAGGGATACCCCAGACTAGATAAGATTTACGAACGTCAAGAAAACAAGTTAATTAAAGTTATTAGTCCTCATATACACAAATTTCAAATTTAACCTTTCTTTTATCCGCCATTACACATATGTCCTTTGTCAAAATCCTGAATCCTTTCTTTAACACATTTTATACTGTCGAATATTCAATATATTTGTCGTTATTATTTAAAAACAATATGTTAAAAACGGTAATAACCTTTTAGTAGTTTGAAAATAAAATAGACGTTTTATATTCTTACTATTAGAGAGCCCTTGATAAGTATGGGCCGGCTCCTCCACGATAAATGTGAAGACGTCATCCCCACCACTGGGGAAGGAGGTCGTGGAACCAGTCAAGCGTATAATTTTTTGTCCGGCGTTCCGCGACGGCTTCCCTTTCACGAGCTGACGGCTGAACGAGAGGAACTAATGCAACGATGAAACTTTTTGTTTTTGGTTCTTTGTTAACAAAACTTTTACGAACATATTCGTGAGATTTTTCTGATTAAAACGATACCAACCACGATATAATTTGGATCATATTTACTTATGATTTATCAGAAGCGACAATGAACGAATATAAACTGTTAACACTTTCTAGATGAGTAAATATGATCCAAATTATGTCGTATTTGGTATTATTTTAATCAGAACAATGTCACCAATATAATAGTAAAAGTTTCGTTAACAAAGAACCAAAAACAAAAAGTTTCATAGTTGCATTAGCGTTGTCTCACCGATACTCGGGAATGTAATCTTTTCTTGATCTTTCCTCGTTCAGCTGTCGTGTCGACTCGTCGAAAAAAGTCCTCGTTCTTCTTACCGACTGGCACGGCGAACTCGACGGACAACGCAGGAAAATGTGCATGTGTATGTACGACGAGCGAATGCTTAGAGAGTTACCAACGAATGAAATTAGCTGGGTCACCTCCAGTCACACGTATTTTTATTATTGGCCGAAACGGTACACAATCGAACTGTATGACGAGGAGAACGAACGAGACACATCGAGACCGAGTAAGATAACACAAACCCAGCGATTACAATGTATCCATTGGCCAGTGGGAGCGTCGCAAGCGGGCCACGCAGTCGAATCGAGTGGAAAGAGATGCTTTCTCTTCCTGTTTTTGACTTGCTTGTCCTTTTCTATGTCGGATCACTACAAAGGCAAGCTGCCGATGCTCGAGCTTCGAGGAAAAAACAAATTGACGCGGTGCTGAGATGCAACTTTTCGCCTACAGCGTGAATGTGACGCTGCGGAACCGAGGCATTCACACTTATCAAGAGCTCTTTTGCCCCCCCCCCCCCCCCCCTCCCGCGCTTGTCTCCAGGCAACCAATATTTTTAGACCCAGTTTACCACTGGTGTCTATTATAATTTTACGTTTCCTTGTACTGCTTCATACACAAATTTGTAGCAATCTTAAATGCTTGAACACGTTTTCTATTCACTGTGTATTCATGAAGTCTAGAACACTCTCTTTTACACAAATTGCGATTTCGTTGGAGTTACTACAACACAGAAGGAACTTATTGTTAATAATAATGCTTTAATTGTTGTTATTAATAATAAACTATAATTTCATTATATTTCATTATTATATATTCTTATGTATAAATTTCACGTACATACACGTGTATGTATGTAGGTCAGTAGAGTGAACAGAGCGAGTAACAACCGCATGGAAAGGGTAAAAGTTATTCCGGCTCGAATATAAGGTCACCGCTACTTCAACCGTTATCTTTCAGCAACGATTACACCAGACATTCCTATTGGTTACCGTGACTTGCATTCTGGAGAACCGTTTTCCTTCGTATACAAAATTATGAACATCTTTATAAATATAGATTTATGAAATTGATGTATAGACACTGATATGAAAGAGAGAATTTTTTACTAAGGATTCCGTCAAGCTCCCAACAAAATTTAAATGTTGTTAAACTACGCTTGAAACTTTTTTTACATCTAACCTCAGACAACCGTATAGGTACACTGTAATAATAAATTTTGGCTCATTTCATTTAAGTCTGCATATTATGAAGATAAAGAGAATGAAGAAGTAAGAATTATTCATAAATAATTCTTGCTTCTTAATTCATATCTCATAAACTTTTCGATTTTTAAAAATTAAAATCTTGAGAATGATAATTATTCCTGTTGAATATCTTCCATGTGGAGTATGTAATATTTGAAATACACTTTCGTATTGTTATTACCGAAACATGTCGATACAGAGTCGGTAAAGGCACAACGATAAGGTTCTTACAAGGAAATTTTTCAACTTGAAAATAATATTTAACTATTATAACTATTATAGAAGATAAGCCAATTTAAGGTGGATTTATATTATCCGTACCGTCACGTAACGGTTCCATATCGGCAACGTTCAGACACAGACACGAGTATTTATATTATACCTTCGTCGGACGGTGGTAGTCAACAGAAAAATTACAGCACCGCCAAACAGTGATTCGTTATACTTCAATTACAAAAAAAAACAGCTTCTATTGTGATATGCTGGTACGTGTTTGTGCCGTACGATACGGTAAACACCTATATTCAAATGCAATACTTGTCTCATCAGATATATTCCGTGTCGGTGCAGATAATATAGGGTAAAAGACCCAATTACTGATACTTTAAAGAATTACACTGATATTATTGCATAATTTTTGTATTAATTGACTAAAAACATAAGTCTTTATTTGTATTTATTATTATTTAATATGTATAATGGAAGAAAAATTGTATTGTAACCTTCTGAACCTCTTCTTTTGTTTATAAATTCATTAGTTTAAAAAATATATGTCGAAACTATTACCGCCAAACTTGTCCGATCGAATTACGGACACCCCAACTACTGCCACCTAGCCTAATATTGTCATCTCATATACCTAAATACTGTCACTTTTTTAGGTTAGGTTGCACGTGACTGCAGACCGTATTTGGTAATATGAATAGCGTGTAGGGTATTAACAGTTTATAAAATAAGGTAGACACGTCTATATTCAATGAAAATCAATTTATTAATAATATTATTTACAAAACTTAGCAACGATAAATTAAACATAAAAACTGAACATCTAAAAATAATCAATAAACTAGTAACAAACTTCAACCTTCAAAATTGGCGCGCAAAACTACAAACAAGTCCCCACAAGCGTAAGGCTTTGTTTTCATCAGCAATTACTGTTATGACTAATTAAAAAATTGTTGAAACGCTTTTACCAATCACTGTAACCCAAAGATTAAATTAAAAAACTTAACGATTCGTTGAATTATGAATGACATTATTTTCTATGATCTTTATATTATCTAAAACTTTACAGTTCATTATGTTACTAGCTCACATATCACAATTATAGCCTTTTCTATAGTACCTTGTTTTCCCTTTCGCTAGTAAGGCAGTCGTTCGATCGACTAAAAATTTGTATCCTTTTACAAAAATTAACTTTTTCTATCCTATGCATTACATTTTTAATTGCACGTAGAATTGTCTTTACGTATAACTTCACAACGTTTATTTGTTATTTCAAGTAAAACAGTCTAGATGGCAGTAATTGGCTCATTTACCCGAAATAGACCTTGACACGACCGCTCCAACCGGAATGTTTGACGCGTCGCTTCAGCGCACCACGCTGAGGCGCACGTTTGGTGCGCGCTCCTGGAGCGTGATGTAAAAAAGTGTAACACGCTAAATGCGCGCGCCAGATCCGCAGGATTGGAGCGTGGAGCGTGGCGTGTCCGCCAGACGGACAGTTCAGTGAGACGCGCCATGCTACAACTGCATCACTGACATCTTGTAGCTAAAATGTCTTTGATAAATAAGCGAAAAACCCGTGCGATGGCATGCATTGCTTAGCAAAATTCACGTTTGTAAAATTCAGTAATTTGGTGATGGGTATGATTTAAAAAAATTTGGTTTTTATAATATAATCATCTGATTTTATCTTCCACGAGCAGGGGAAGCCTCTATAAAGATTAATGAATTTTTCGAAGTTGTCTTTGGATCGCATTTTGACTAGTATGCGCGAATTGGTGTGTGGCACATCGATCTTTCAGGTCGGAGATTGTACACGTACAATTTTGGAGCGCACGCCTGGAGTATATGCTCCAAAGGTGTGTGAAAAACGGTTCGTGCAAATCGGCATATTGAAATTTGCACAAGTACTGTGGAGAGTCTGATGGACCGTTAATGTTTATTACGTTATTACGTACATACAAATATCGAATAAAGGTCAACCGAATTTTCGGATTCAGAACCTTCCCCTGTGAGTCCGAGTAGAAGAAAAGGACAGGCAGCGAAATACCAAAAGGTAGTGAGAGTCAAAGCAGTAAAAAAAATTTAAAAAGCTACGAATCCGTGAGAAATAACATACTAATGCAACAATGAACGTTTTTTATTTAAGATTCTTTGTTCATAAAACTTTTATTGGCATAGTGGTGAGACTTTTCTGATGAAAATTATACGAATCATGAAAAAATTTGTATCATATTTACTTAATCAAGTGTTTCTTTCATTATTATACATTTGTTAATTACAAATGATCAAAATTACATCATGTTTGGTATCATTTTAACCAGAAGAACCTCACTAATATGTTAATAAAGTTTTCATTAATAAAGAATTAGAAATAAAAAAGTTTTAAAGTTTCATTTGCATTGTCACATCGTTACGCGGCCCTTTAAACTTTTTTGTCTGCCT